TATTCGCTCTTTTGCAATAATTACCCTGGCTTCTGGACCCCATTGGAAATAAGTCTTGTGTACAATCACTAGAATTAATGGGTCATCCAGGCATTCAATTAATTATTCATCTCCTTTTTTTTATGTTCGTTCTCAATTTGTTATTGTCATGTGTGATATTGAATGCAAAATAAATCAAATTAAATCAAAAATATATTATATGGACACACAATGGTTTTTTTTGTCAGAGAAAATTTGACAGTGTGTTCAGATCATAAGATGAAAACCAGTATAAATAAAACAATAGATAATATTAAAAAATCATATATCAGTAAATAATAAAATTAAACTACACATATCACATAAAGTAACATAGAAATTATTGAAAATGGAAACAATATAAATAACATAAACACTTTAAAAAACATTTGTCATAAAACATCATGCTGATGTTTTATTTGTTGATTTTATGATTATGTGTAAGGTTTTATAAACATACCTGATATCAGCTCTTTGTAATAATTTGGTTTTTCCACAGTGTATACATTTTATGAATAATTTTTTGCACTTTTCTAAATGATCTGTTTTTATTTTTTAACAATGCTCTGGTCTATTTGGAAAGGGTAATAAATAATATATTATCAATATAATTATTATAATGATATTGCTATATTGAAATAATTATAACAAAAATATTGTAAAAAATGTATATTTAAAAAATTTCAATATTAAGAAATTTACTTCTTAATATTTTGAAAATATCATTAAAATTTAATTGGAATACAAATCATAAATTATCATTAATATTAGTGCACTACACTGTATGACTAAAATTCAAATTAAATATCATTAAGTAAGAAACTAAATATTCCAATAAATATTATTTTCAAAAGGGTAAAAAAAAATGTATTAGAAAACTGATATTCAGCTTAGACAACTTAGTGATTTTATATTTGGTCTAGAGTGCCATCTTCTGGGAAATTAGCCAACGATGATGTCAGGAGAATTATCGATGCAACTGCCAATATTTATATCAGATGATGGATTGGTTTCCACGGCAACCACATCATTATGCACAGCAAACACAGTGCTGGTTATGAAATACACACAATGCATTACCGGCTACTTAGTGTGAGACAAGTTTTATGAACAAGAAACGCTGAATTGGTAAAGCATGCAAGAGAAAGACAATTTATTGTTTCCAAATATTACTCTTAAGTATAATTGAAAACATTTGAAAAACAATATATAAATTCATTAAATGTGTATAAATTTAATGAATTATCACTTTATGTTTTTTCTATTTAATGTAAAAAAAAAAAAAAAAAAAGATTTATAAGGCCCCTAATTATTTTTTCCATTATGTGTAAGTGTTATGTTCAGAAAACACAACCTAATTTGTTTTTGTTTTTTCATACATTCATTCTTTACTTATTCATTATAGCCTTTCAGAAATATTACAATATATA